CTGTGCTGAGCACCACAGTAGTGAAGACACTAATTTTGAACTGATCGACAAAACCTTCAGGTCATTGGAAGATTTCGAGGTCTGACGTTGGACTTTTTTTTTATTCCAACGAGCCACATCTTCTCACTTTTAGTCGTGGAGAAGCGAGAAGGAACATGAAACATGTTCAAAACTGGTGCAGAGAGCCGTAAAGAGGAAAAAAAGTGTTACGACAACAAGATATGTGTGTCAACATGCCCGTGGGGATGGGGGTCTGATAGACGCGGAAGAAAAAAAGATGCGGTATAAGAAGTCGAAGCGAGTATATCCACAATGTCCGTGCTTCGCCTTGGTGGGTCAAACTCGTGAACGAATTCATGCGCAGGTCGTCTTTCTTTTAGGTAAAACAAAAGGAGGATGGGTGTGTTTCTGTTGTTGCTTGTTTCGGACATCTAGGCCATGAAATCAACAACGCTACTACGAGGCTCTCCACATCTGAAGAAGATGTGGTATTGAATATGATTAAGTCTGGAATACCAGATCAGATGGTACGGTTCCAATTAACTAATACCCACTGCGAGTGACGCTTTCACAGATCGTGGTGAAATTGCGCGAAGAATTTTGGAATGAGGAGAACCCGCCGGAAAGGCAAGCGCGTCTATGCTATCTCACAACAAGAGATGTTTAGTAAGAGCTTCTTTCAAACACATCAAGGCTTTCAATGGGTATTCATAACATTTTTAGCAATATTGCTGCACGTCATGGTGAAGTAGCGGGTCGATGGGACCCAGACGATCGTACTTCATTGAAAGTCCTGTTAAGAAATGACAAATCGCTCGCCGCGGTCAAATTAGTCGAAACAAACAACTCTAGCGGCGATGGATTTGTCCTGGGTAAGGGTAAGATCGTGGTGGAGCTGTGTAAAAATGGGTTTTTGTTAAGCCTTTGTCTCAAAAAATGGAAAGAAATACATCGAACACTTTGGATCGAGAGGAATCGTCATGGACGACACATTTAACGTAACAAGATATTCATTCCGCCTTGCCTCCCTAATCGTCTCCGACGACTCCGGACGTGGCTTTCCTTCTGCACATCTGCTGTCTTTTCATATGACCAGTGCAGAAGTTAAAATCTTATTCGAACTTGTAAAAGTGCGTTGTGCAACCCTAAGTCAACTGAATCAGCCAATATAACTGTTATAGGAATGTGTCCCTACTTTCAATCCAAGTTATGTAATAACGGACGACACCTACGTGTTCTTTAACGGTTTCAAAGAAGTTTTTCCTCTTAGTCACGCTGAAAAGATTCCTTGCACATTTTACGTAAGCCAAACTCTGCAGAGAAGGTACGCTAGCTAGGTGATTATTCCTCTCCTGAATGTGATTCTTTCGCAAGGAGATGATGTACAAACGGCCAACGATCTATTCAAGGCAGTGCTTTTCGAAGTCAATGAAGCAAAGTTTGAGAGCTACTTTTACGCCTACATGTCATTCCTTGGTTCTATCGATGCTCAGGACATGATAAACGTATGCCATTCCTCTTTTAAAGCATTCATTAAAAAAGCCCTTTACAGTATGTAAATCGCAACTATGCAACGCGAAAAAAGGAGTGGGCTTTATGCTACAGGCGCAAAGCAATTTTCACAACTTCGAATCATGCCGAGGCTTGGCATAATAAATTGAAGCATGTGCTACTCAAGAGCAAGCAAAACGCGCGCCTTGATACTGTTCTATATGTTTTACTAAGGCACTCAGAAAATGCTGATTTCCAGCTCGTGACTTCGGTGAGCTTATTGCTGTCTCCTGTAATCTGTCATCGAATGTTCAAATTACAGAGAGTACGCGCAGACATCTGTGGACGCTCTAAGCTCAATCTTTCCCGAC